TTTATACACCCATAAATGAAACAAGACAAACATCTTCAACACAAACATTTATGTTAAGAGTCTTAAAAATAAATAAATAGAATCTTATGACTCTAATATGGCCTATAACAACTTTCATATCAATTGGATTTGGCGCAACCAAGTTTATGGGTAGTGAGTTTGCCAGCTCGTAAAACTCATGTTCAATTGGTTTCATCATGTGGCTGGTTTAAAAATGTTAGGTGTCATAGCCTGTCGAACCCATGTTTATTTAAACTCAACACGTGGCTGATCTTAAAGGTATTGAATCTGCTGACTTATTGAATACATGTTTGTTTAGGCTTAATATGTGGTTGAATTTAAATATATTGGATATAACAGCTTGCTGGTTGCTGGTTTTGACTCAGCATGTGGTTGATACAAGGACACTAAGTTAGGTAGCTCGCCAGTCCACTACTTGTCTAGGCTTAGCAAGTGGATGTATCCATACATATTCAGTCTTTCTAAACAAAAACTTGGACTTTTTCACGAAATGATAAAAATATTGACTTGTCATTATCCAAGCAACAAAAAAAAAAGTTCTATTTCATTTTCTTTTGATTATTAAAAACAAAATAGAAAGGAGAAAACTAGAAAAATTATTTAAATTACAGGTAAATTATGATTTTCACCTTTGCTCACGAAGTCTCAATAAAATAAAGTGATATCAATATATTGAAAATTGTCTAGATTATAGGTAAATTATGATTTTTTTTCTAACTAATAAAAACATTATAAGTAGTTGTTTATCGATATAACATGTATGTTTTAAAAAGTATTTTTTTTTCACATGATACTAAAAACACATCAACATTAAAAAGAAAAAATCAATCGCGGATAATCTAGCCCTTTGCAGATTATAGGTAAATTATGATTTTTTTTCCAACTAATAAAAACATTGTAAATAGTTGTTTAGCGATATAACATGTATGTTTTAAAATTTTTTTTTTTTCACATTATACTAAAAACACATCAACATTAAAAAAAAATAATCAATCGGGGTTAATCTAGTCCTTTACCTTTCGGAATAAGCAATGCTCATAAATTATCTCACTAACGTGCTATTTTCTTTTACCATCAAAATGTTTCCATGCATTTTTTGTAAACACTTTATCGTTCAACTAGCAACAATTATTTCTAATGAATTAATCAAAATTTTATATCAAATTTGAGCTTTTCATGACTGCTCTGGGTTTAAATGGCATAAATATAGGCTTTATCTTTGAACTTATTTCCTGCAAGATAAAAAACCATTTGATAATTAAATTAGCAACCCACGCGAGGGAATGAAAGTATAACCAATAGAGCTCACAAAATAGAATAGCCATGTGTGATGTGATCTTCAATGTCAAGTTCTTGAAAATTTGTTAACAAGGTGGCTAGAAATGTTTATAAACCTTTATCATGTTATCTCATCACGTGAAAAGTATTTTATGAAAAAATAATAAAAAATAAATTATTAATTGTTGTGTTTTGCTATATCATTGTTAAGAAAATTGATGTTTGTAAATAATTAGAAAGATAAGTGCTATTTAAGGAGATAATCTGGCAGGATTACCATTGATCAGAATGGCATGCAAAGGTAAAGGTCATACTAACAATTTATGTGTATTAGTATAAATAGCGTGGAATTCAATTTTTTTGAGGTAGTTATTGTGTATTTGTAATATATGCTAATCAATAAGATTACTAGAAATTTATGAAGAAGGATCTGGTTCCAAAATGACTAGGACAAAGCCCTGTTTTGAAATGAGTGTTTAATCTATATATATTATAGAGCAATGCACTCAGGACGGAGGGGACTCCCTTAAATTTCTCTTACCAGTCAAGGGTAGTTCTTTAAACATGAGAGTAAGATATGTTGTAAATTAATAATGTTTTGTGGAAGATGGATAATTTTTTTTTTTTTTATTTCCTCTTCCCTCTTGTTAATTCAAAATTAGAGACTGAATTGGATAATTTTATAAGATTTAGGGATCAGAGTGGAGAAAAATGAAAAAAAATTGTTAGCACATGTATCTTACATGTGAACGTGTGGACAAGCCACTGTGGCTCATGACAATGCATGTAACTTTATTCTCTCATCGATGATGATCTTTTTTTTTTTATATTATTAGATTCATCTTAACATTGCAAAGTAAACAAACCAAACGAGCCCTTCATCCTTCCTCCGACTCTCTACTGTCCCGCCCTCTCGTGTCCGCAACAACATGACTGACAATCCATTGCAGCATCTCTTTCAGCAGGTCTCAAATTGTATCCAAACACATTTGGCTAATTTCACAGGCCAACCTCAGAACCCATCTTCATCCACGAGCAAAAACACTGTCTTCTCTCTCTCTCCGCCTTCATCACATCTATCATCCAAAATATACCCAGCAAACAGAGACACTTCCACTGTCCAGCCTAAAGACGTTCTTAACAAGGTACCCCGTTCATTGTCTCGCCTTAGATAATCATTAACCTTCATCAAATTTGAATTTGAGTTTCCGATATGTGTGTCTGGTTGGTTTCTATGGAAAGGAGGTTAAAGCCCTCAAACTGTCTGGCAAAAGTCCTGAATGGATTATTGTGTTTTTGAGGATTAGTTTTCCAGCATAGGTTTCCTTTGCAGAAACTAGACTATTAAAGGAGAACTTTAAAGCTTGCAAAATACGGGTAGAGGTGTCAAAAACTAGCATAGAATTCCTCAATCTCATGTAGTTTTTAGTTGCCATCTGTTGGGGCTGCCATTTATATAAACAAGTATGCTCGATTAAACTTGTATTATCTATTTGTTCAGGAAAAGTCTGCTGCTCCCGTGACTAAAGAAGAGCTTGGAAGAGCTACTTGGACTTTCCTGCACACGCTTGCTGCTCAGGTACTCCCAGAATGCAGCTTTACTCCTTTACTTCTCTAAATGCCCTGCACATTTATTTGTTGAAATTTAACTATTCTATTGATGATAATTTTAAACCTTTTCTCTCAGTATCCTGATCATCCAACTAGACAGCAAAAGAAGGACGTAAAAGAACTGGTAACTCTTTATACTTGCTTCCTGCAATATTTCTCACAGTGACACTATTTGTCAAAATAACTATTCCAATTTGATGGTAAACACATGAATTTATTTTTATTTTTATTCTTCTTCTTCTCCTTCTTCTTTGTTTTTTTTCCCTCTTTTTTTGAACTGGTGAATTTATCATTCTTGAGCTTACATAAATTAATTTTGTCTCTCAATTATTAATTAGATGAAGCTTTGGATGAGTCTTGTGGAAATAGTAAATCAACCAGGAACAATCCATGACACAGTAAGAACTTAGAGAGAGAACCTTGTTAATGATATTAGAAAAACCAAAGTTGATCTTGAGTACTAGTCTATGATTTGTCTTGACCAAAGAGCAGGCGATTCTATAACTTTACAACTTTACTTGTCCCGACCAAAAGTGTACACCTGTGGCTTGGGCAGGTTCTATTAGTAGCTGAATCATGCCCTGTTCTACTGTTCTAGTAGTTGCCACCGATGTGACTCAACTGTATTTAGACCTGGCCAGCCGATCTTGAGGTCTCCACCATCTTCAGTTGCATTTTCTTTGGACATGAACAGCCCATTTTAGAGGAAGCTGATATGCAAATGGCACATTCTTGTGTGCTTGAAAAGCTCAGGCTGCCTTGCCATTGTGGTTCATTCCATTTATAACTAGATGTGTTATATTTCACTCCTCACTCAATCCCTGTTCATCCTGTCTAAAATCGAGCAGTGAATTCATTCCAGTATGCTTATAAGATTTTTAAGATCAACTAACAGGATTGCTTTGGCATTCAGATGGCAATTTTATCTCGGATGTACCCTTGCCAGGGATGTGCAGATCACTTTAAAGAAGTTCTAAGGTATACTGATGCTGTCCACCCCAAACCCCCCCACCCCCCACCATTTTCCATAATAGCGTGTTCTAGACTACAGGTGTTGTCTACTGTTGATGCTCCCTCTTTATGAAATGGTTCTTTTCTGCACATTGCTTCAGTATACTTCCCGTCCAATTTCTCTTTGATACTCTTCTATAATGGACAGTTTATTGCATCTGATTTCTCCATTATGCTATAAACTACAGAGGGGGGGGGGGGGGGGGGGGTGGAGCAGACAGACAAGGAGTGGGGCCTATAATTGATCACTGTAATCTTGACCTCGGCAAGGGGGTGTGGTGCGGTTTTACTCTATACGACTAGCAAGCCTCTTCGAACAGCCTGCATTTTTAATGGATAGTTTACTTATGGCTGGTATGTGTTTTTATGTGTTTGGCAGAGTAAATCCTGTACAGGTCGGATCTCATGCTGAGTTCTCGCAATGGCTGTGCCATGTGCATAATATAGTTAATAGAAGGTAAGTTAAGATGTCAATTCTACCTTTGGTCTTGATCGTAGACAAACTGCTTAACCACCCTGGCAAAATTATTTATTCTTGCTAACATGCGGGTGATTTTAACAGCCTTGGTAAGCTAGTATTCCCTTGTGAACGAGTTGATGCAAGGTGGGGCAAGCTAGAATGTGAGCAACGTGCATGTGATGTACAAGGAACTACGAATCTCGATGAAGATTAATGTACCTCTGTACTACTATACTGAAATTGAAAAACCATGTTACGAGTTCATAGTTTAATACAAATTTGTCAATAACGGTTCGAATATCCATTTGATTGTATTGCTTCAACTTTTGATCCATAATTTTGAATGTCCTCTGGTGCTAGCATTTAGATGCAAGACAATTTAACTCGGTAGGCTTTTCAAGGTTCCCTGTCTCGATTTCTTTTCACGTTGCATCGAACTTACTACAATTAATTCATCAAGGTGGGCCGTGTAACTGAGGAAGTCTTGCTAAGGCTGACCTTAACACTCGTAAAGCTTGATAGTTTGTCACAGCAGCAAGAGAATTCCTCTTGTAAGACGGAATATATAAAATAGAAGTAGCTTTCAATGGATGGTAGTAAGATAAGAAAAATCAAATCATTCACAAACTGCTTGTGACCAAGATATAATCAAGGTTTCTTGTTTTGCATTTTGATTCAACAGTAACATAAAACCCAGTTAAGTTCCAACCAACCGTGGAACCCTGAAATACAAGGTGGTAAAGGAAAGAAAAATAAAGAAGAGAACCGCTGCCAGAAGCAAAGAGACAAAATTTAGCTGACCGATGATGGGTCCTCAGCTTGATTACCCCGTGAACTTTCAAGAGAGAACCCCAGCCTCGATTGCTAAGATATCAGTTTAACTGTCTGATGATGCACCACCCTCGGCTTGATTACCCTTTGAACATTCAACCGAACGAGATGGAGGTGCCTCCCCAAATTTCAATATATAAGCAATCTCAGAAACAGGTTTCAGTTGCATAATCACTTGAGCATCTAGATACGAGTCGCAAGCAAAACACCAAACCGATAGATCACTGTAACCAAAAGCAAACCAAATTCAAATTCCAAACCAAGAAAGGCGCAAAGCCGATTGGAAATTATCAAGCAAACCAGCAATAACCGCCACAAAATGCAATACTCGCATCGCATGCCATACCTGTAACTGAGAGCCAAACAATGGCTGGTTTGATGAAAATGTTGCAACATATGCTTGTTCACAAAACGGCTGCAAAGTACATCCTTACACGACAAGCATAACCAGTTCTCTCTTGGATGTTGGCACCTTCAAACATGTAATCAAAATAATTTCAACAAATCAGAAATTCTTGAAACATCTGATTTGTCTACAAGTATTATTTTTTTATTAAATAAATAAATAATAAATGTCAGGGTTTGAGAGAAAGCGTGAAAAGATTACCTGTTGCAAGGAGTATCGGGAGGTGGTATGTGAGCAAGATCAGAAGACAGAGAAGCCAAGTGATCACATGATGTTCGGGCTTCGACCCAACCCGATTCTGCACCGTACATATCGTTCTCGTCATTTTCAAATCCCGGCTCCTATTGTTATTCACAGAGCTTGGTTAGAATATAGAATCTAATGCTTCGAAAACAAGATTTTTAACAATTCTCTATTTGGGTTAATATCTAGAAATTGTAATATATTTTTGTAAATCTTCTAATTTTTATTTTTTTTTGGGCTTACCAGAGGAGTAGAGGAAGAGGCACCAGCTTGATTTGCCATTCAGGAGTCTGTCTGTCTTCTGATGTTGGAGTTTGTGAGCAAGGTCTTCTGATATTTCTGATGTTGGAGTTTGTGAGCAAGGTCCAAGAGGATGCCTGAAACGACACCATCTGCTGTCACGTGCTAACGTACTTTTAGGGTGAACTATATTTTAGACCCTGTAGATTCAACAATATTCCACTTTGCCCCCCGTAGCTCACAATTTGCCAATACTAAACTTGTAGTTGTCAGTTGTTCTTTCAGTCTTTAAGCTTTATTTCTTTGTTTTTTATATTTATTTTATCATTGACTTTTAATACTATTTTCTTGAATAATTATTTTCTTATTTTTCACGCAGTCATGTAAAATAACTGGTTTGGTTAAGAAAGTATAATTTTTAACTAAATCTAAATAATTAATTTATTGTTCAAATAGACATATTTTAAGTAAAATATTGAAAGTTTTGTCAAAATAAAAAGTGCATAAATAATAAAAGTAAATCCCGACGGAAGAAAAACAATCTTCATTCCAAAACTTAAATCATTGAAATTGTTTTAAATATATATTCAAAAAAACATAAACATAAGTTTTGAAAATGGATCCGCAATATCAGCTGGGCTGGTAACACTAAAGCAAAGAATAAGCAATAATCTCTTGTAAATAATCTAATTTACTACCATAATAATATCAAAATTTATTTGGGAGCGGATCAATACAGAAAGGGCTAAAAAGCCTTCGTGATTGCTACAGAGGGTTTCGAGCCTCTGACCCACAGCTCTAAGCTAGTACTCAATGGGCTAAATCACATAAAGGCCCAAACCAGACAATTCTACGGCCCGTCTGACACACCGGGAACCTAGGGTTTTGTAACGCCAGTATAAAATGTCACTTTCCTTTCCGAGCTCATAAGCGCCCCGCGAGTTCCATGCTTTCAAGTCTTCTCTAGCGTAAGCTTTAGCGATCAGTAACAGAAAGGATGGGTCACGCTAATGTCTGGAACTCTCACCCCAAGAACTACGGCCCTGGTTCTCGCACCTGGTAATCGATACGAGAAAATGAAAGTATAATCTGATATCAAACCTATGTTGTTTACCTTATGATAAAAAGGGTTCTATCAGTTTTCCTTCATATGCTTCTTCACTGTGCAGTTAGTTCTGAAAGATTGCTTTTTTATATTATTTGTAGGAAATTGACCTGTTGTTGTCATGTTTTGATTATGTAACTGGGATCTATTATTGTTGTGTTTGGATATCCCAGAAATAACTATTTCCTGTTTTGGATGATTTAGCGTTTATGAGCACTATCATCCAGTGCTTAAGATGATGGTTTTAGCTATGTGGTCGGTAGGGTTTAATTTTGAAGTTCGCTGTTTGTTATAATTGATTTTATCAATAATTTCTGGATAGGGTTTCAAAGTGGATCCATGTTGTTAGTGTCTTCTTATTTGTGACACCGGGATGGTTTAGATAAAAGCATGAAATGTTGGTTTATGGATTCTGATGTATGCCATGTTGTTTTCTTGTTGATTTATCAGCCGCGTGTGTGGGAATCCCCATGGTATTATCAGGAAGTATGGGCTAATGTGCTGCAGACAGTGCTTCCGTAGCAATGCCAAGGAGATTGGATTCATCAAGGTAAACTCATTGACTAGCCTTAAGTTATCTAGTTTGAACTGTAATCTAGTTTGGTATGTTAATTGATTAGCCTATAGGTTGTTGATAATCGTTTTCATTCTATGCTTTTTTTTTTTTGGCAGTACCGCTGAGGAAGAGCTAGTAGCTCGTGACCTACTAGACGAGCAGAAGATAGCTCGCTTTTGTTTTATGCAGTAGAAGATACCTCGTGTCCCACTAGACTAGTATGAGATAGCTTCCGTACCACTTGACCAGCAAATGTGTTTTGCACAAGTATGATTGATTATAATTTTTATGTTTGAATTAACTATTAAGACAATGTTTTGGGTAGTTGATTTGCTGTGGAACTTAGATTGATGTTGGAAATGGAATATTTTCAAATTAATTGATGATATTTTGGAATAATCTCCTATAGCATTATCGGTCTCCTTTTCATAATTGATTTGTTATAATCCAAGCGTTTCTTTTGAATTCTCTGGCATGCACCTGTCCGCATCACAATGCTTGTTAAATGATCTGGTGGCAGCTGCCATCTTTGGGTACTGAGATTTTACCATCATTCGGGTGCTTCAATCATGGTTTACAGCTGGTGGGGTGCACCGATCCTCGTATAGTTTGAGAAGAATAAAGTTTGAGAAGAATAAAGGTAAGGCTGCATTGTAAATGTCGGTGAACATATCAATGGCCTCTACTTTTGTTTTTTCTCTTTCCTACTTTCCATGGTAATGTAGGGGGTGATCTCAGGCACTTTTTTGAAGCAAGGGGAAGATATAAGCTCATCCTTGCTCTGCAAAAAGTACATTTTGAGTCTGCTCAACTGTCAAATATTACATACAGTGTAATTAAGAGATGTAAGTGTTGCTATAACAAACAAGCCTTTAAGCGAACCTTGATGGAGTTCAGTGGGTGTTGTCAAATTTCCCACTCTTTTCTCCCTCCGCTTGATCCTGTTATAAGGTTTAAAGTAGAGGTGTTCATATGCATGCAATAACTCGTGGCGTGATCTGTTAGGAGAATGTGACCTCTTCTATGCTATCCAGGCACAGATAGGACTCTTGATTGGCACCCTCGAGTGCTCAACGAATCTTGAATGTGTGAGGTATGCAGGGAGGGCATACTCACCAACGCGATCTCGAATTCGTGCCAATTTTTTTAGGACTAATAAATTGATTTCACTTGTAAATTAGCATCTACCAAACGGAGCAGGTCAGAGACTATATCCTAAACAATACTGAAGCAAATCAAGCGCTCTACAGGATTATTGATCAAGTCTTCTCGGAAAATTGCATCCGAATGATCTAAATTCTTCCCGGTACTGGAAGATCCTTAGGATCCTCCGATGTATTCGGAAGGATGATCAGTGGGAAACTGTGTTTTTCACTGAAGATGACAATCACTGGGAAAGGGGAATGCAGTATTATAAATGCTTCATAATGTAAGAGAGCTAACTTTGGAGTTCATGTATAAAAATTGCAAAATGTGAAAGGCAAAATGCTTGATTTTTCTCCTGCAAAGAACACGCGTCGTTGTCAGGTGTAACACTGTAAAAACTTCTATTAAAGAGAAATTGATGAAGAAAACGAAGGAAGCTCATTTCAGTTTTCAGGACTGTTAAAGACTGATGAATAATGTCTTTTCGACTGTCTGCACAATTTCCATATGCCTTCCTTTTTCACAACAAGACCGTGAAATCGGCACCAGAAAGTTCATAATCACTCGATTCTCTTCTCTCACAGGTAAAGGGGCCAACTTTTAGAGTTACCAAACAGCAAACCCCCTGTTAGATTGTTCGTTTTGCCACTGGCATTTAGGGAATCTCAATTTGTTCATTTGTGATTATTGACATGGCAAGGATGTCTGTGTTTGGATTCTGGGCTCTGATCCTCCTAGCTGGAACTGCCTACTTGTCTTCCACTTACTCGTCTTCTCATGGTAAGCTCTATTAACCCAAGTTTTATATAGTTTCATTTTAGTACTTTTAATCCATTAAATTTGATTCTAGCTTTCGTATATATATTCTAAGTAAATTTTCAAGAGATACAATTATAATTTGTTCGCTCCTTGTTGCCATATCTCCATCTGTTTCTCTGCCACAAGCTTGCTGTATTTGTAACAGTTGTTAAGGTAGAAGTAGAGAGTTAGAATGCTTTTACATATGCATCAATATCAATAATTGAGGCATCACTATTTTTGTTTTGGTCATCTCTTACAAGCTAAAAAGGAGAAGAAGAAGAGTTTCTTGATTTTCATGATTGATTTATTAGCACTAATTCATCTAGTTTAGGCTACTGTATATGGGACTCACTTTTGGTTGCAAAACCCTATTCTGGTGATGATGAACTTTCCCTTGCAAACTCCATTACTATTCAAGCAATGAGCCCTTTGGACCACTAGGCCATATCACCTTCTGTTCCCAACAATTTCCTTTTCACCGTCCATCATCTATGCACGTGCCTTGCGATCATAAAGTAAAGTAAGCATTCACCAATTGTTTTCTTTTGATAGCAAGGTTTGCAATTAAAGGACCATGATCTAGTTTCACCATTCTTACTAAGTAATGTATTCAGAATTATCATTAATTTATATAGCTTAAACTTGAGGGGGCCGAGAGAATTTTTTTTGGTACTTAAGCGTTGTTGATTTTAGGGTTGTTTAAAAAATCAGTTCATTTATAATATATATATATATATATATATATATATATATATATATATATATATATATATATATATATATATATATATATATATATATATATATATATATATATATATATTTCAGATAATAATAAGTTAAAAAAACTTAAGATATGGATATCACATTGGTGAGGGTTAAAATTTTTAAAACCTAGTAAATTCAACTCAACTTTTTTTAGTTGTTATATATTTTGTTTTTTCATTGCAATTGATTTTTCTATTTTAGTCCATTTATTTAAATGATTAAATTTATGAAAATTAGCAATATAAACTATCTATAATATTCAAAAACAAATTAGCCTAACCTAATATATTAAACCCGCTCAAATTTTAAAAAAATTAAATGGGTCGATTTTAATTTGTAAAATATCAAAAATTAAATTAGATATAATTTTAAATTCAAACCCAACCTAACTATACCCGTTGCCAATCCTATCCGAAATTTTTGTAAATTCTCACTGTGTGTGTATGAAGATTGTACTCTAATAGTGTAAAATTTATTTATTTACTATCGGTTCTCTAATCTCACTTTCTCAATTCACTTTGGCGGTGCAGAGCATGTCACGGTTTGGTGCTCTTACCAGAAGAATTCCCTATCAATTATCATTACCTTTTCCTACCATGAGGTATTGTATGATCAACATCACTTTACAGCGGGTGCTGTCCTCTCCATTTTAGCTGCTTAACAAGCACATATGTTGCGGTCTTGATCCTGATGATGCTAACATCTTTTTGTGCTATCATGTAGAACTTAGGTTTGCGAATTGAGCAGACTTTGCTTACTCATGACATGCTCTGCACCGACAGACATAGAAGCACCAAACCGTGAAGGACTATAATCATCCATGTAGAGCTAAAGAGAAATTGCCAACTTTTACTTAGGTCATCTGTTCTTGACCGCATTGCCCTAACCGGACGTGAGCAAGGCTGATATATCTCTGTATAGGAAACCTGACCCAGGACAATAATGATTCCTGATTTTACCTCACACTTACCAAACTGGACCACTGATAATCATGTAGAAGATGGGATTAGCTGAAGTCCATTTACTCCGGTGTGTCCCTTGAGGATGATTAAGGACTAACCTTCACTTGTAATCACCTTATCCTTTCTTAACAAAATCAGGCATATTATTTCATCTGTTTTTCATGATTACACGCATTAACACGCCACAGAACCCATGCAAAGTTAAATTTGTGCTTGCCAGTCTCGTGTTTCATTTCACAAATTCTTATCAGAGCATGTCTATTTTCATATACTTTTACTGCAATTATTTACCTGGATCTCAGGTTGAACTTTACATGGGTCTAAACTTAATGAACATGTCAGGTCATGGTTCTGCATAACCTAGTTGCATAGCTGGAAGAGCTCTGCACCAAGTTAATATAGTGGTCAGTGGTCCTACCTTTCCATATTAAGGAAGATGTCATGTGAAATTGATTTTTTCGAGCTCATCGGACTTTCGTATCATGACCTGTGACGAACAAAAAATTTCAAATTCTTAATTGAAGTTTAATACTGTCTCTTTTCTGATCATTTCTGTTATATCGAATTAAACCCAGATTTGAATTTCTCCAAAACTGAAGATAGCACAACAGCTACAACATCATTCAAAGAACCAAAGGTATGCTTCGTTCTTTAAATTCCGACTCAACCTTAAATTTACTCTACAGATGAATTTGTGAAGCTGTCAAGAAAGCATTAGTTTGTGCTGTTGCATGGAGGCTGCGGAATCCAGTTTCTTTAAATACATTAGACTGTGCTAAAGGTCAGATTAATGGATTCTCTGGTTATTTATTTTTATTTCTCTATTTCCAGGAGGGATGCTATAGTCAGCGCATTTCTAGTGAAGAGATTCAGAAGGACAACATAAATATGGAGGGCTATAGCAATATTGATCCAACTCCGAAATCTACTGCCACCATAGTATCCAGACCAATCGAGCATGGCACTCCTCTCGTACCTTACATTCCAGGACCAACACTGCTGGATCACCCGAAGCCAGGCAGGTTCAAATCACCGCCTTCGCCTGCTTAACCGTTTTATCACCAGCCAAAAACAAGTCCTTACATCAGACATGGTAGTTTTGAAATACGGAGCTATTTCAAAGATGAGGTTGTTTTCTGAAGTCTTATATCAGGTAGTCACCATCATAAGCTGTCCTTAGTTTGTTTGCTTGAATGATGAAATCTTAAAGGCAGACTTGTATATCGCATCGTTGCAAAATTACTTGTCTAATGCTTGTTTTTGGCTTTTTGGTACAAAAGGATGCTATACTTAACAATTCCGGAAATGGCACTCGTTTTGCGTAGTTAAAACTCATTTATGTGACTCCTGAAACCGAAACCTTCTAGCAGGCATTAGTTTGCTCTCATTTAGTGCCCAGACATCATTCAAGCTGGTAAGCTGTAGCCTAGCAAATCTTAACTAATGCATGCTGTAAAGTGACCTTAAATGGTCACATACACTGAAATCACCAACATGAAAAATAAAAGCACAGGCATGCTAAAAGTGACTGCAATAATCTCCTTCACCAACCTCCCTGACCATTGTTTCTTCTCTTTCAAGGTAGTTTGTGTGCCCCTTTCACATTTCTTAATTTCTAGCACCAATGAATTATCTCTATCATTGAAGTACACATCTGGAATTCTCATGAATGCTTCATCTCTCCAATTGGAATATAATTATACCACTTCTTCTCCTTTTCTTCACCATTATGATTTCTTTTCTCATGGATTTAACTGAGTTTTGGACCTTATCCTCTTTACCTGGGATGCAAATCCCTGAGAGAATATAATTGTGTCATCCATGAAACTTTTGATAATACAAAATCATCTAGGCATTCAAGTAGTGCATCTTTAACTTCTAAGAGGCACATGCTAAGCTGTTTATTTAATAAGCTACTGAAATAAATTACTTCAAGATATGTTTTCATTCCTGCGTGTGGTCCAATTGAAGATAGAAAAATACTGAAGGGAAGTACTTGTGAAAACCTTTAGGTCACCCATCATGGGTCTAAATTGTAATGGTTGAAAAGGGAGGCTGTGTAAATTCTCCAAAATGCTGAAATCATATCTTGTACCCAGTGTTTCTTTTCGTTTTCTGAATCTTTCGTTCAAAGAAGAATACAAGGCACATTTTTTTAATGCATGCACAAATGACTTTCCCCATTGTCACGTATTTTCTTTTTATTTCTTCTTTAATAACAAGTAGATGTGAGGTTGCAGTGGATGGGAGCTGGAAAGTAACGAATCCAGACAAAATCATACTTCCAATTATATTATCACTTTCAAAGGAGGTTACCAAATTAAACAAACATCACTTGAGTGGTTGTATTACTTTTAAATTAATTGTAGCATGGAGTATATTTTAAGTCACATGCCTTCCAGAGTTCTATTATCATCATTTCTCTGTACAGCCATAGCTAAACAAACGGAGTTTTTGATACATCATGCTCATCTTCATCTTCAGATGAATTTTAATGGTGATTTAGCTCTCAGACTGTTTCCCAATAGTGAATAGTGTATTACTTTTAACACACACACACACATATTTGCTACACATAGGAGTCGCTATGTGCAGTAAAAGTCACCCGTGGAATACAAAAATAAGTGCAGCTAATCAAACTATATTTTTGCGTGCAGTCGCCGCCCCCTTCCCCTGGCGGTCCCCCTTCAATTCTAGCAACTTCTCATGGTGAGGGGTACAATTTTATTGTCTAGTAAACCAAACTTACAGTGCCATGATGAACAACCAATTAACCAAAGCTTTGGTCGTGGTGTTCTTAGGTTTTCCAAGTTGTCTTTATTCATTAACCATTAATTCGTTTTTGGGTTCTCCAAGTTATTTCAGGACTGATCTTTCGAGGCTCTATCAGGTGTTAGACGGGAACCTCAGACCACTGGCTTAAGCGCTTCTCTTCCACTTATGACATTAACCATTAATTCCTTTGATGTAACTCTACTTGGGACACGGGAAACGTGTTTTTTTTTATCCTTTCCACGCAAATACTTGGGTTGAAGGACACGAGTAATTTTTCCACCCTTTCTGTATTTTTTTTATGTAGAATACAATTTACAAAAATATTTTAATATATTTCTAAGAAAAAAATAATTTTATAAAACACTGTAGACCAAAATATCAGACAAGCTCAATTTTGTCGGCTAAAGAAGTATGGTGCACTCACCAATTTGAATGCTGTAGTTACTCCTGTTTAATTAAAATACCCGTTTACACAAATTTGAGCATGCAGTTAAGTCGTATTCAAGTTATGTTGAAGTTATATATGATTAGAGAACTATAGCAATCAGACATGCGACTCTATACCTCTCCATTTCCATTTGCAGCTGACTATCATTGCTTTCTGTTTCTTTTTGGATCACAACTAGTCAACTAGGTTTGGCTTCGAAGGGACCCAATGCCCAATTGGAAATAACTTCAATGGAAAAATAAATTTTGCTGAGGGTTTCAGGCAATCGACCTTGTTTCATAGTCTTGAAACATAACAGCTGAGTTTAGGCATGTCCAAAACCAATCTAGTTAATATCTAACGGTCCCCTAAGCACGACATAGAACTGAGAAAGCAAGGCCAGCTAGTGGGCTGGAACTTGGAAGCGGGGCAAGATGACGACAAAGTTAAGGAGGGAATTCTGAGAATTAAAAGGCGTTAAAAGCAAGGGTTTTCAGAGGGGCTGAGAGAGATAGAATGAGATGTCGCATCTTATTATATAATTATTAGCATAAGAAGTATGATTATTAACTAACAAATGGCTTATATAGCTTAGCTTAGCTTGCAAAAATCAACAAGGCAAGGCGTTTGTTCTTGTCACTTCTTAAAACTTTTCTTCACGTTAGTAGCATTTTCATATTGATGACACCAGCAAGCTCCATTGTCTGCTTGAGAGCTCTTTTCATCGATGCTGTCTCTCTCAGTCCAGCTCAGGTAGCCCTCTCTTTCTTTATCCCTCTGTGTTCTTTTAATCTCGTTAACGTTTCATCTCCTGCTCCGTCGACTACTGATCCAGGAGGTTAATCACACCCACACGAGTTCTTTGTCACCTTCAAATGTTTTTTTTTCCTTTTTTGTCGCGCCATGATATAATATGTGATTAAAAAAAACACCTTAATTATAAGATTATTATGCAGGTACAAAAAATTCTTCATTTCATCTAGCATTTGGGATGAAATCCCTTTTCTGTTATCGGAATTCAAGTCTTCATTAAAATTGTGAGAGTAATTTTTTTTTATAAATACTCTAACCTTCGTATATGAATAACTGATTTGCTTTTAAATCAAATTTAATATCAATATATAAAAACATGACTAAAATATACATTTTAATATTATCCTCGTTGGTTTTATTATTTAAATTGGGAGAAGATCAATTCATTCGATATATAGTAATTTTTAAAGATATTTTTGACATCATTGTATGAAAATCATCATGGAAAAATAAAATTGTGGGTGTAAAACGGAGCAGTAAAACGAATGTTTCAAAAGCTATATGCTGGTAATGTTTTGAAGTTGTGGGTGTACGGTTGTGTAGTCATTATGAGTACTGTTGAACGACTGTGTTTGAAAATGACCCAGTGTGAGCTCAGGCTTACTACCCTATGCTTCTTGGCTAATCCAACAGCAAAGAAGTGACTTCCGAACGAGTGACTTGCAAAATGCCAAGTTCATGTACGCACGCGAGATGCTCTGCCAATTTTGCAATTATTTGTACGCACATTTGGTTTTAGAAAAAAACAATTCTTTTCTTTTGGATGGCTAGAGATGCTGCTGCCTAGGAGCCCATTTGGAACTCTGTCCATAATTATTTTTGAAGAATATTTATTTAAGAACAGTTTTAATCATAATTATTTTTGAAGAATATTTATTTATTTAAGAACAGTTTTAGAATTCAAAAACAAACAATCCCACTAGCTTTTTATTTTTTTGAAGCAGCTAGATTCGTACCTCTACTGTTTAATTATGGTCATTCCTCGCCAAGAACACTGTTTAATCATGTTCAATTGATGGTACACGATGGTGTCATTGCTCTATTAATTTCTTTTTTTTTGCTGGGCACTGGTTTCATTCATTTGACCCCTTGGGGCCAGAAATTTGGTTCTCAGACATGATGAAAAGGATCCATAAATCAAGTAATGTGATGATACGAATCAAAGTAGATGACCCCAGCAGCCCTGTTTTGTCCTCTCCTCCCCCTTCGAGGGAGCTATAATTGTGAGTAAATGCTTAAAAACTTGTAATACCACCTGGAATTAATTAAAAAAAATAGTTAAAGGAGAGGAATTGATAGTTCAACTACTTTCAGTGACGACTTTCTTTTTTGGTTTGGATTGCCTGTATCAACTTTCAATTGTTACAGTAACAGCGCATGCTAGAAATTAAAAAAAATGGTTGTTTTAAAAATATTTTTAATTTCTTTTAGAAATATTTATTTTTAATATTAATATATTTATTTTCTTTTCTTTTCAAAACTCATTTTCAATCACAACTACAAACACCTTAAAACACTAGTCAACATGTTTTTCCTATAATCACTTAAAAAGAAAAAAACTTAAATGAGTGTTAATTTTTGTGTTAGAAATTACTTTAGTGTTAGATTTTGTATTCAAATTTTTTTAAAAAAATTTGAGATACAATAATTTAAAAATAAAAAATATTATTTTATTTAATATATTTTTAATTAAAAATATATTAAATAAAATAATATTTTTTATTTTTAAATTATTGTATCTCAAATTTTTTTAAAAAAATTTGAGATACAATAATTTAAAAATAAAAAATATTATTTTATTTAATATATTTTTAATTAAAAATATATTAAATAAAATAATATTTTTTATTTTTAAATTATTGTATCTCAAATTTTTTTAAAAAAATTTGAGATACAATAATTTAAAAATAAAAAATATTATTTTATTTAATATATTTTTAATTAAAAATATTTTTTAAAATAACTAACATGTAATATTAAAAAAAACTTGTAAACTCATCATGTAAATAAATCTCTCTGAAAACATGTGAGTATTTTAATATAATAATAACATGGAATGGAGTATGATGACCTGTGCACTTAGCAAGGTACAAGCATGATTTTATACTAATGCTTGATTCATCAAGTGTCACGATCTTTAATTAGTTTCTATAAAATAAATTAACAAATCATCAAGTTTTTCCCCTAAATCATGAAAGATGGGCTCTGCACGTACCTAAACCAGCCAGAGAAATTAAGTTAACGGGTTTCTTCATGTGTTTTGGAGACACAGACACCACCGAGAAAAAAACATAAAAAAACACGAACTCTCCCAAACAAGTACCAGAATTTTATACAAAAATTAAGGTTGTGTAGGGTAGACTAGAAAACCGAAACGAAAACCATACTCTTAACTATAATTTAAAGTTTTATCAGAACTTAAAAATGGCACAAACACAATTAAAATATCATAACTTCTCTTCAAAGATTCACCAAAACCCACACCCAAAACACACACTCACATAAGCACACCTGTGTGTCTCTCCTCTCTCAAATGTCAAATCTCACCTCTTTCACCAACTCTTTCTGATCTCTCTCTCTCAAAACCCAAAATAGTAGTAAAAGCTAAAAATACAGACTGATCCCTCAGTAACCCGTCTTGGGTTTCCTATTTCTTGCTCAAGATCCTAACTTTCACCACCTTTTTTGCAGGATTTAGGCATGAAACCTACAATGTTGTGTCTTTGAGAAGCCATGAGCAAAGAAAAACCGGAACTTTTTTCAAGAGCCAATGTGAGACACTCATAAACCAGATTTATCACACACAGAATGGTGGCTGCCATTCCTCAAGCAGCAGCAGCAGCGGCTAGGTCAACTGACAAAACCCCTAATCTAACGAGACCCCCACTTTTACCTTCAGAGAAAGACCACCAACAAAACAATGGTAGTGCCCACATTGCAACAAGAAAACCCAGAGGCAAACAAGTACCTTCTAGGTACCTCTCTCCCTCTCCTTCCACTTCCACTTCTACAACTACCACCACCACCACCACTTCAAGTTCTTCATCTTCGAGTTCTTCTTTTCCAAGGAGATTTGCTTCACCATTACTTTCAAGGTCTACAAATTCTGGACCCTTACACACACCATTAACGACAACTAGATGTTCTCTTCCTTCCGGGTCTAAAAGATCCCAATCTGTTGATAGAAGGAGGCCTGTTACTTCTTCAAGGCCAACGACACCAAACCCTCAGCGCACTGCAACTGAAATATCAGCTGCTACAAAGATGTTGATTACTTCAACAAGGAGCTTATCAGTTTCTTTTCAAGGCGAGGCCTTTTCGCTTCCAATTAGTAAAGCTAAGTCAGTGACACCACCACAAAACAATGTGGTTAGAAAAGCCACTCCTGAGAGGAGGAGAGCTACTCCAGTGAGAGATCAGGGTGAGAATTCAAGGCCTATGGATCAGCATAGGTGGCCAGGGAGAAGTAGAGAAGGGAATTTGAAAGAGCGGAATCCACTATTGTCCAGGAGTTTGGATTGTAGTGTTGTTGATGGTGGCAGCGGAGATAGGAGGGTTATTGGATCTGGGTTTTTTGGGGTCAAGTCATTGCAGCAGTCTGTTGTTGACGAGGGTAGGAGGTTGAGCTTGGATTTAGGCAATGCTAGGCAAAACACAGATACTATTTCTGTAAATGAGTCATCTTTTACTGGTGATCTTACTGCTTCTGATAGTGATAGTGTTTCCTCTGGTAGCACTTCAGGAGTGCCAGAAATTGGTAAACGAAAAACTGCTCCTCGTGGCATTACTGTTTCGGCAAGGTTTTGGCAGGAAACCAATAGCAGGTTGAGGAGGTTGCAGGATCCATGTTCACCCTTGTCTACTAGTCCTGGTTCTAGAATGGGTGTTTCACCAAAGGCTATTCAATCAAAAAGATTTAGTAGTGATGGTCCTTTGTCATCTCCAAGAATGATGGCGGCTTCACCTATAAGGGGAGCTACACGGCCTGCATCTCCTAGTAAACTTTGGACAACTGCAGCTTCATCTCCATCTAGAGGGATGTCCAGTCCTTCAAGGGTGAGATCAATGAGTAGCAGTTCACCCTCAATTCTTAGTTTCTCTGTTGATTTAAGGAGAGGGAAGATGGGGGAGGATAGAATTGTTGATGCACACATGTTGAGGCTTTTGTATAACCGTTATTTGCAATGGCGGTTTGTAAATGCAAGGGAAGATGCTACCTTCATGGTGCAAAGACTGAATGCAGAGGTATGGTAAACTGACATCATCCAGTATGTACACTGTTTTCAATTTATTCACTCCAGTTTTTTTTTTTTTCTTAACGTAGTTTATATCTGGTGAATGTGTTTTTCATTGGTGATAGTTGATGTGTGCTTTTTGTTGGTAATAGTTGATGTCTTCATTTGGGCTTGTGACCTTGAAAATAATTTCCATTTGAAATCTGAAAGTGAATGCTTGATGAATTTCTTTCACCGGGTGCTAGCTTCTTTATATTCACGGGAAACATTTGCTCTCGCATGATGTAAACTGTTTAGGACTTTAAGCATCAACGAATAGTCTTTAAGAGTGGAAAAACCAAGGAAGCATTTAATAAATCCGCTTCCAAAGTCCAAACAATGGAGGACAACCCATGAATCTAAGCAAGTGCATTTCTGTGTGTATTTCGTTGAGAGGATAGGTTAGGGAATGAAGGACCTTGACTTAAGCCTATTTGCAATGGTGCTGGAAAAGGATGACATTAAGGAGTTTGGAAACTTGATTAAGTACTTGCGATAGAGTTTGCTTTCTGGATGGCTTTGGCCTCCTATTTTTTAAAAGGAGTGCTACACTATTGATAAGGACGGACTTCATTATGCAATTGAGGATTTATGCTATCTTAAATTCACGAGAGCCAAGCTGACATAGTCTATCTTTGTGCCTAGGACAATATTCTACACAGTATAGTGCTTTCTTTAGATAGAGGAATGGCCAATACTCCATACGCTCACTGTTCCCAGGCGATCTGCATCCTTTATACAAGACCCATGTGGAATTCTGGGGCTTAGGTATGCCACAAGTACCTTAAAGAAACATTTACCATTGATACACATAATCAATACAACTACAATATGGACCCATTTATTGTTTTGGATTGTTCATCTGAGTCCATGCTAGAATGGAAAGCAACATTGGGCAGACCGAGTGGGAACTAGCAGGGTAGAAGTTGTATTTGTCTAGAAGGGCTGTTGACTATACAAATCTTCCCTTTTAATATAATTCAATTTTCACAATCAGAGCACGGATGCGTAAGAAATTTTAAAATGTTCAAGGGATATTTCTGCTGGAAGAGTGCTAAAAGTGGAAAATGGAGGAGGTGTACGAAGGAAGTTCAAATATCATTTTAGTAAATGTGAATATAAATGTTTTAGATAGGATAAGGAAGTTTCTACTTTGAATAAAGCACTTTTAGTTCTGTGATTTTGGTCTTGTGAACATGGGAAAAGACAGTTTGAGGCATACAAGACAAGTGATTTCATTTTAGTAAATGTGAAAATACTTATTTTAAATAGGATAAGGAAGTTGCTGCTTTGAATAAAGCACTTTTAGTTCTGTGCTTCTGGTGATACTAGCATGGGAAAGGGCAGTTTGTGGAGATGGATGGTAGACTCAAAAAAGGGAAGTGGATGAATATTTTCCATTTTTATTGTGTTCTTGCGGAAAATATTAGGGGAGATTGTAGTATTTTTCATTTTCTCTGCTTGTGGTATTTGGATGTTATGAGAGATGCTTTGACTTGACTGTTGGGCGGAAGCTTTAAATCCCTTTTGAGAATTGTTTCTTGATGCTGTTATAGAGGTCCTTGGAGGCTTCAGTATCTGAATATCTTCTGTTCTCCTGTCCTTTGAGGTTTAGAAGATGGGACAGGATTGATAATTGGTGCAAACACTTCCATTCTGGGTAGTTTCAGAGTTTGTGGTGTAGGGTATGTCAGAGTTTTTAATGGCTGTCCAATATGAAAAGAGGCGAACTTATCATCTAAATCTTTTTACTTATTTGGGGTTGTTTCTCCTTCACATGGTGCCTTCTCTTCCAAAAGCACATGGAAGGAAAAGTTGCATCCTAAAGTGGGAGTCTAGCCTTGTTTTTTTTTGTTTACCAGCCGTACTTGCCTGACAGGCATGTTTGGTTCAAGCTGGTAAAGTCTAAAGGGTTAGGGCAAGTTTAGCTCCTGTTTCTAAAACCTGTGTTTTTCCCCTCCTTAACATTAACCCTTTTTTTCATTCTGGAAATCTTGTTTGCCTAGCTGTTCTTGGAAACAGTTTCTGGAATGTTGTTTCCACAAAAAAGCTCCATTATTAACAACAGGAAGAGGTTGGTTTATGTGTTCCAAAAGCTTTCCTAAAGAGATGTCATGAAGAAACAATATTCTGCCTAAGAAAAATTTGGCTAGGTTTTTTCTCCCGTGTGTTTCTGAAATACATTTTAGAGAACAGGAACTGAATAGGATCACCAGCATTCAGCATAAATGAACTTCTATGCACCTAAAGGTCATCCAGTACTCTCTCCCTCCCCTTTTACTTTGTATCTAGGTTTGTGTTTCATCGATGACTTTTTGTACGCATTGACCATGTGTGGCATTGCTTTAATTCAGGAGCTTGTTCTTGCAGTACTGCCTGCAGAAATTTCTGTTTGTACTGGCTTCTAGGCCCTATACACTAGCCTGAAAAATTTTTATTGAAAAGAGTCATGTTGTTGCCAAGATTTCGGGATTAATGTAGCAGACATATTGCTGTGATTTTTATACTCAATGTTTTTCATTGTACCAGAAAAATTTGTGGAATGCATGGGTAACAATCTCAGAACTGCGGCATTCTGTCACTCTCAGAAGAGTCAAGTTACTATTGCTGAGGCAAAAGCTGAAGCTGACTTCTATCCTCAAGGGACAAGTAAGATTAAGATATTCACATAACTTTTGTTATGGTATTGAACCTCTTAATATTTCTGATAAATTATCTTCTTTCAGAACTGGATTATCTCTTACCCTCTTTATATTTATGCTAAGCTTAAATCTTGATGTTTTGAACGGCAATGCATGATGGAACTTTAGTTTATAAAGTGATGTAAACTGGAAGTAACTTGGAAATGTTTAGAAATCAACCACATCATTCTATGGAGATTTGGGATGCTATGACCAAGTATGCGACACCTGTCTTGTTTTTCTGGGGGCTTTCAGGGAATAGTGAGAATTTTAAAATCTAATTTTTGTCACCATCATTTTGCCTTTATATCTTATGTATGTCCTAATTTTGCTGTCATTTCATCTCTTTTCCTGCATGTCATATCTCTTTACTTGAAGATTCACAGCTTGAGAATTAGTAGAAAAGTTAAACCTGGGAGATCAATTTAGCCTTAAAGATGCATATGGTTTTGTATTTATACCTGGTGGACTCAGACTGGTCAATTTCCCTGATACTGTGACTTGTTTGCAGCATGCAGATTTTGGATCTGCTGTTTCCCTGCTCTTAACTGCTATTTGTGCCCCAAACACCTTCTAATATATCATTTTCTTTTTATGTAAACTTCTATTTGGAACCTGACCTGAAAACAATGAAGACTATTAAATTGTTTCTAAAATTTATTTAGAGGGGATTCTGAAATTGTCCCATGCGCTGGTAAAGCATTTAAAGGCCTTGGTGTTTGCTGTGGTATAGATGCCTGTAGAGCTTTATCTAGATTTTCTTTAGTTTATTGTGAATTTATTCAGGAGTAACGTTTTAATATGAGTTGGTCATCCACCTTCTATTTTAAGGTTCACCGATTGATGAATTATTACTTACCAGCTCCTTCTAAGGATTGGTCATGTTGATTGTGTTGACTTAGTTGACTGTTATTTTTCCCTGTTTTGGCACTGCCAGAAACACATTTAGTTTGTAATCATTCTGCTTTTCTCATCTTTATTGCTGAAGTTTACTGTACTTGGTGAATGCAGATTGCCCATTTAGAAGAATGGTCACATCTTGATAGAGGTCACTCGAGTTCTCTGCAAGGAGCAACCGAAGCTCTGAAGGCCAGTACTCTTCGCCTTCCTGTTGTTGGAAAAACAGTGGTATGTTCATTAAACATCTAAGATAAAAGGCAGCATTTTACAAGCACAATACCAGGTTAACAAACTTTACTTTCCTATGTTACAGGCCGATGTACAAAATCTGAAGGATGCTGTTGGTTCAGCAGTTGATGTAATGCAAGCAATGGCATCCTCTATATGCTCGCTATCATCAAAGGTAGCTCATTCTTTGTAATTATAGTTATATATAATATCATGAGCTCGAGAAAGGGGTCCATTAACTATTAATGTCTTACTCGTGCCATATATTCTTCTAAAATATAACATAGTGCCTTGAAGACAAACAATGAGTTATTTAGCTTTGTCTACTAGTTTTTAAATGTAAGAACAATAAATATAACATGGTGTTCTTACTGCTATGTTGATGAAGAGTCAGGTTTTGCTAACTAGCTTGGTCACCCAGTTTTGACTCTGGTTTGAGGGAGTTTGGTGGATTATTCCCAGTCCGGCTCACGGTTTGACTGGGTGGACAGGTCCTGTCTTTTAAGTGCTGGTTAATGCAGTCGGCCACTACTAATGGTTTCTTTATTCTTTAGGTAGTGTTTGGCATTGATTGCATTTTGGAAGTTTTTTTAAAAAAAATTTAAAAAATATTTTTTATTTTGTTTTAAATTAATATGTTTTTGATGTTTTTAAATCATTTTAATATGTTAATATCAAAATTTATTTTTAAAAAATAAAAAAATATTTTAAAAAGCAACCATATTATTGCACATACTCTTAATACCTGAAATCCCATTCTCCCTAAAAAGAAAATCAGTCTTGACCTTTCAAGTCTGTGAAACAGACATTAGCTCAGTCATTCAATCTTGATCTCCTATGACATCGACTGTCATTCCTGAACCCAATAGTGCCAGTACTCTGTCTTCTTGTTTATCTAATTCCAAAATGCCATAGATCTTATTGAGAGTTTATTTATTCTGGCGCTGATAAATCAAGGGAAGGGGCCATGGAAAAAATGCACTATTGCAATTAAATTTGCTTAAAATCATTTGGTTGCCGCTTCCCGGACTTTATAGAGATGCATTTACTCGCACATCTAAAACAACTTGTCATTCACAGGTGGAAGACACGAATTCATTGGTGGCTGAACTTGTTAATGTGACTGCTAAGGAAAGACACATGCTTGAACAATGTAAAGATTTCTTGTCCACCTTAGCAACCGTGCAGGTAATGGTTCTATCTTCTGGCTACACCAGGATTAGCGAATCATTTTCCTCCAAGTCTGCTTATGAAATATTGTATATTTATGAACAGGTTAAGGATTGTAGCGTGAGAACACATATATTACAACTTAATCGTTTACCAACTACCACCAGCCTGACAACACGTGTGTAGAACTGATCTCACTTGACCACTCACTCTAAAATGCTAACATCACTCCCGACTCTTCTTTTTCTTTTGGGTGGAGGTGCATTGAAGGTAATAAACATGGAATGAATAGTTAGTTTTGGCTTCACCTTTGGCATTTTTTGGAACCAGTTGTGGTCTTGTATTTCTTTTATTTCATTTATCTTTATATCCGAAGATGACAGGAAGTGGTTTTTCGCCTCCTACTAATTAGCTGTACACAGCAAAAAGGAAAGTAATGTATATTTATATATGTAACATGCACGGTGGTTCATCTGATTACTGAAAATTATGTAGTTCTTGATCTACTTGTTCTTGTAATCTTAACATGATGTTGTCAGCTTGTCATTCGTGATTTTCTGGCCGGGAGAGTCTAGTTACAAGGCTTAATAGTTAGTTCACTGAACAAGTGATAACATTGCAAAACATGGTGTGTGATTTGAGTGAAACCAGTCATGGTGTCAGCTCTCTGCCAAATCTTTATATGTCAACGATTATGCATACGTTCGGCGGGGCCTAGCATGGGCATGAGTGATGTGCCTTGCTCCAAGTAACGATGAATGAATACGGGCAGAACTTGGCATAGAATACTCAAAACTGTGAATTTGTATACTCGAGAAATGTGTAGCTTGTAGTACCGAGTTAACCTGTACGTATTGAATGAATTTTTCAATTTACCAAGCGAAAGAGTCGTGTATTGCCACCTCAAAAACAATGAAAAATATATTTTATCAAACACTTACGATGATGATTTTCTGTTCTTCCCGTTGACATTTTTCTTCCTTTGGTAAAAATGGGTGTGTGGATATCGAAGAAAAAAAGGGGTGCTTATCGTATATGTAATTTTTCTCATACATTACATTGACTGTATAGACTAGGAAAGTCAGCGACAGCTCATGTTGTGGCAGAGCTTCCGGCGCATGGGGAAGTGAAAGTCCACAGCCTACCGAAGATCTAACCTCTAATTTCAACAAAGGATCCAACTTCTACTTTTTAACGAAGATCTAACCTAATTATTAATATTATTTCAAGTGTAATAATAGAATCCATCAACACCTTTCCATCTTTAGCCGCCGTCTCCTACATGAACATATTTGTCGAATCTCAGCAAAAGCAAAACCTTTCTTTGATTCTTGTTACATCGCTGAGTAGTAGGGTTGTTTTTTAAATAATTTTTTATATTATAATATATGTTAATGTTATTTTTTTATTTTTAAAAAATTATTTAATTCTTTCTAATAATATTATATTAAAATAATTTAAAAATATTAAAAATATATTAATTTAAAATAAATAAATAAAATAATTAAAAAAACACGGTTGAAATGTAAAAATAAACAAACTATACTTTTTATTATTATTTTCCAATGAAACAAGTAAAGCACGTTTTAATTGTCCATTCAGATGTCCTTTTTTGATTGCCATTTTTTTTTATCTCATGGTTCGGATAAAAATTAATGGCCACCCACACCTTGGAGATCTGACATTGCATCTTCAGAGTTTACTAAACTTCTTGCTGCTCCTTAAACTGTCTTGCTCTCTGTTTCTTTAGAGCTTCAATCCCTAATCAAGTATTAAGAGATTATTATACTGAAAACTAGTTAAAAATAAACTCTAAGCTATAAAAATTAGGGTGACTGTTAATCATGGCATTGAAAACAGGGCCAATCTGTTCCATCATATGGTCAAATCTCGGATCTTAATTAATCATGACTGCATATCAGGTTTGTGAAATGTGAACTGTTGTAACTTTAACATTTCAACTTCATGATTTGAAGAACAGGGACGGTGATTATTTGAAACGAGGAAAGGTTATCAAGGCATGATTTCATTATATATGGTTTGTGGAAATGATCATGAGAAAATCTTGCATTCCTTCCAATGTGAGTGCCATCTGGTTTACAGGACCCTAATATACCAGGAACAAGTTTTCGACAAAAATCTTCCATGTTGGTATAGTAAACAAACCGAGAAGCATATTTTCGGCTTGCCGGCTTCCTTTAAGCTGAAAATATAAAGAACATGAAAAAAAAAAAAACAATTTTCTCCGTCCAAAAAACAAGATAGAAAACTATTTTTTCAACCTTCTAATGAATTTGGAGAAAAAACAATTCAATGCTTCTCCATAGTTTTCTTTTACAAGTTTTTCACTATTTCTGAAATGAAGGAAAAATAAGCAATACATTTTTTCTTTTATATAAAAGTAATTTTTAGCCATGTAAATGTTAAAATTATTTTTTATATATTTTTATAATTAGTTAGTGCTGTAATTTATTTATTTTATTATAAATATAATGTAAGATTTTAGTTTTTTAGTTACAAGTATAATTTTTTTCATGATAATATTTAATTTGAATGAAAGATAATGTTTTATAATTTCTTTTGGTACACTGGAAATAAAAGAAGCAAAAACTAATCTCCTTTATGATATCTAGTGCCCATCGAATCTGCAAGAAGAAGAGCACTTAAACCTGGAGGTGGATTCTCCCGTATACAAATCTCAGCGAGATTTCGAGCACCATGCTTTGCCATGAAGTCAGCACACGAGTTGGCTTCTCTTAATATACGAAGAAGATGAGCCTCACATTCTCTTGAAAGAAGCTTTTTGGTATCCACGATAACAACCCCAAGTTTTTGAAAAATGGAATTCCCATCATGAATTAGTCTTGAGGCATCTATAGAGTCCAAATTGCAAATGATCTTCCTATAGCCTTGGTTCCAAGCTAGAACTAAACAGCCATGTTTAATATCCAGAAGCTCTGGAAGCAAGTTGGTGTCACATCCTCCAATGCTCGAAAAACCCACAAGCCATTTCCCTTCATTATCCCTAATGACGCCTCCAAGACCAATCTTCCCCGAGTTACCTTGTGAATTGCCATCAACATCCAATTCCACTAATCCCACATCAGTTCCGCACCATGAGATAGTTTGCTATTTTCTAATGTTGACAGCTTGCTGGACCCAAGCATTGCAAAGATCCTCCTTAAAAAGATGAATTTGCCTCATGAGCCAATTGTCACCTGCATAATTCTCCCTATAAGCAATGATGTTTCTAGACCTCTAGATCCACCAAATACCCTCAAGAAAAAGGAACGAATCATTAGAAGAAACCATTTGTCAACACCGTTCCACAACATTTATGTTCCAATACCCGAGAGCATTTACTAGTCCTATATTTTTCCATATGATTCTAGCGAAGTGACAATCCTGCAGTCAATGGAAAACACTTTCCTCCTCCTGGTTGCAGCAGCCACAGATAGAAGTATTAGAAATATGTTGTTTGTAGCGTAGAAGCTTTGTAGGAAGACAGTCGTGAATAATATGCCAACCCATCGTCTGAACTTTCTCAAGAGCTTTTACCTTCTAAACCCTGATCCAAATTGGGTTCCCTTGCAGCGTTGTAGATCTGTCCAGTAGCTAATGAAAGGCAGACTTAGAATTGTAAATACAAACATCATTAGCTTCCCAAATAATCCTGATATCTGGATGAGGAGTAGCCAGAATACGAACAACCATGCTAAAGTGTTAAGACACCTTCTGAAAACACTGTCATCATGTTTCCAAAGTTCCAGTAGTTATTTTGCCACAGATCTTGTACTTTCAACTTGAAGTCACAGATGTGAACAGCATCAACCTGTGAACCACCTTATAATTCGATTACCATGAATATAAATATTAAGATGATTATTATATATTATTTTTTTGTGGAAAAATTGTGGAAAATAGTTGTTTTAATCTTGATGCATTTTTTTTTAAGAAAATCCTCTTCGTTTTTGATAAATGAGTACATTTTTCAATGTTTTATTGTATAGTCATGTGTGTTTATACTTGATGATTATTAAGAAAAATAAGAAAGGGTCATGGATGGTCCATCATTTGTATTTATGGTGATGAAGCAACAGAGCCGAGTAATAAAATGATAATTCGACATGGAACCCATTTTCTGGATTGAGGAGGGATATGTTGCTAGCCTTTTGGCTATTGGTTACATGAAGAGGCCATTAGTAAAATAAATTAACAAACAAGCAAATAGTGGAAGGAAAAGGAGAGGGAGAGTTGGAGATAGGCTACAAGTACATGTAAAGGGAAATCCAATGCTGACAAACCGCTAGCGGAGGCCTTGAGTTTGGGGAAGAAAAGGGGCATAATGAAATAGCAAGTGCCTCTTTCATGGTAGCAAAAGCCATTGAAAGTCATGAATGGCATCAATCGTGCGGGGCATATCTTTCATTCACTATCCAAAATTAGAAAGCGAAAGCCGATAGAAGTAGAATATTAACAATCAATGTACCGAACGCAATGAAATTATATGATATTTTATAACCTTATCAAGCCTTATACATGAACTCTACTTTCTACAATGTTATGATTCTTCTTTGTGAGTGGGACTCTAGTAGTGTGGGCGGTTCGAGATGTTTAATGGCTTGGGTACATCGGACAACAACTAAAGGTGAAGAATGACTCAATATTCCAAATTCAGAAAAAGTGGATACATCCATGGCAATGATCCAAAATCATCATCTCAAGTTCCCAATTAAATCATTACCAACTCCAACAAATAGTCATGCCGCCATCTTGGAAAAGAAATTACAGGATTAAGAAGAAACTAAGGGATCGAAGACATGGTTGATTTCTTTATTCATGATGGCTTCTAGCCTTTCAGCTCATATTAACCCTCTGCATAGATCAATAAAGTGGGAAATGATACTGTATGCTAGCTAATTAATCTCCTGGGAACTATCGAGATCTTGATACCTGAAAGCCCTAGAGAAGAAACTATGTTACGCCGAAGTGAAAAATGACTTGTTCAGTCGCTCATGTATGCGTATACAGCATAACACTGATCACAGACAACAAAAGCCTCAATGGTAATACATGAATAGCTGTTGATAAGTTTCTCTACGACAGAATCATTCTCAGGTCTAATAGATGTCCCAGCTGCTCCTCCTGTAGCTTGTTAAACAAACAGTCTCAAAAGCTTTGGTTCTCCTCCATCGTGAAATCTGCAATTATTCCCCGAATCACTCTCCAGTGTTGTGGTTTCAGACTCTTCTGGTGGTGTATCCACTCGCTGGTACATCAAGCTAAGATCAAGATCAGTCCTCATCGGTCCACGCTTGGCCACATCAACATCCCTCTTTCTCTTCAATGTTTTTGATCCTGAACTGACATGATCTGCTGACGGCCTAAAACTATCACATTCCGAAACATTATCAAATTCTGGTCCGAAAACTCTTCCCTCAGGTTCTGGCTGTGGTTCTACTGTGCCGCGGCGAAGCACCGTCATCACCGCCTTCTGGCATACGTGCCAGTTTCCTGTCCGGAGAAGCCCCACAGCTCCACTAACTGGGTTCACTGTTCTTCCCACGGCCTCAAACAAAAGCGATCGAAACAATGCTGAAAAGACCAAACCAAGTAGCAAAACAGAAACTTTTAGCTAGGTTTAATGGTTCTTAAATATATGATCAGCCTCTCAATTATCAAGATTTTTCTTTGTGATGCAAAAGAGTTGAAGTACTTTAGATCTGATAGTTCGTCTAGTGTACATGCATAACGTTTAGAGACTTACAGGGACCTTGGCTTTTGGGCACGGAGGAGATGAAGGACATGAGGCCGGCACGGCCAAAGAACTTGGCAACAAAGACGGTGGCATTAGCTTGAGCTTGGGGACTATTTATCCACTCTATGCATTGTCTAAGAACACAATCCTCGCTACATCCCTTTCGAAGAATTCGACAGCCATTGCAGCTCATTGTTCAAGATCTTTCTTGGGAAAGAAAATAAGATTGTAAGCAAAGAAAAAAAGGATTTCTTTCTTCGGTCACAAGAGAGAATATATAATTGGCGTTAGAACAAGAGAGAAGGAAAGTTACAAGTAACCATATATAGAGATGAGAGCTTGCACTTGGACATATCTTAAGTGGATAATAATTGAAGATGGTTAGGCATATTTAATTGTCCATGGTTAGGTTTAGTTAACTGTGGTTTACTAAGGTATAGCCATCCTAGGGTTAAGCTCCAAAGAGAGTGGGTGAGAGAGCAGCTGCGTGTTTCCGCGAATGATTGGGTTTCCTCTGCCATTCGATGACTTCGAATTCATTTCTCTGTTGGAATATTCTTTCTTTTTTCTGTTTTCTTTTGTTTCCCTCTGAGTTTACTGGGAGAGGGTGGAAAGATCGATAGGGTATCCACACACAGAGTTGCCAAATGTTAGTTTGAAAACATTTAGTGCGTATAAAAATATATGTAAGTTTATCAGAATTTGCATCCTTTTGTATCTTTCCTTTCGAGAGATGAAACAACAGCTAAATTATTCGAGCATGACAATGACTTCGTTGTCCGAATCACCTTTCACATCTTGATTCCAGGTGAAAAAAATCTATCTATGGCTCATTCAAGATAAGCAACTTGTTTAAAATACGAAATGAAAAGAATTTAATCTCCAGTTTATTTATTCTTTTATTTCTTAGGAATCTTGATGTCCACTCAATGTTATTATTTTTTTTAGATTAATATGGGTGTTTGGGTCAGCTTGCGCGCACCACGATTAATTCCACTCAATGTTATTATTATTGTTATATATTATTGTTAGTGTTAGTGTTATAGGAGGGTGGCGGTGTCACACCGGGATAAAAAGGGGCAATTGCCCCTTTAATTTTTTTTTAAATATTTTTAATATTAATATAATAATATGATAATTTAGTGAATGGTTAATATAGAAAAATTGTTATTGAAGCTGATTACATTTTCGTTTTTTCCTTTTTTTCTTACACTAACTATGTAATTTTCTCTTTTACTTTTCCCGCCTCTCTCCCATATATATGTCCAGCTCTTTTCTTGGTTTTCTCCAATATACAAATTTCTTTTCAAGTGCAGTTAAGTAATTGATTTTTTTTACCTTTTAGTTTATATTTTAGGTATTTTATTTATTTATTTTATTGTCTAATTTTAATTTTATTTTTTTATAATTAGTTATTAAAAATATTAGGGTTTATGAAAATTTAAAGATTTTGATATGAATATGTTTAAAATAAATATTTAAATATGCTAATTTAATTATTTAAATATTTTTTCTTATTATAAAAGAATAATTAATATCCATGCAAAACTATTATTCTTGGCATCTCTTGCATTAGTAGAGTAGTTTATTAAAATTTAATATTTTTATATGAATTGTTTGTAAGTAAAATATTAAGTAGAAAACATGTTTTTCAAGTATTGTTCCTCTTACATAGATATTAAACATTGTTTCTCTGTTAAATGTCTAGAAATGATTAAATATAATTTAATCAATATTCTTATTATATGCATATAAATATATAAGTTTTATGAAATGATTTCAAAATATAAAAACTTGAAGAGAATAATTATAATGTAATCTTTTTTACTTTAAAATATTTAAAAATTAATTTTACTTGATATAAATTACTATATACATTTTGAATTGATTTCTAATGCATATCTACATAATATAGTATTTGTAAATAATTTATCCTCTTGTTTAAAAAACTCTAGCTCCACCTAGGAGGCAAAAATAAAAAATACTAATATATTTATATATGTCATTGTTTTTCATTTAATAATAAAATATATATTCTCAAATTAGTTTGTATTTCAATCAAAAAAAAATATTAATGAAAGATGTATATGTCATTATCAATTATTTAATAATTGACATACAAAGCTTTGAAGTTGTTTGGTATTGTGGTTAGAACTATGTGTTTTGTTCCAACCACAGCTTATAATCTCTTGGTAAGCATTTGAAACACAGATTTTAAAGGTGGATTTCACTAAAAATTAAGTTTGCACTGCGAGTTTTGTAAAGCAAAAAATTATTGCTTTTCAATTCATTTTTGCCCGTCTAGTACCAAAGAAAAGAAAAACTCAAGGGCCCTCCCAATTTTTTATTTGCTTCCTTCCTTCTCAGCTCAAGTAGAAGTATTTCTTTAGCAATCATCATCATCTGCACACTGCTAGGTGGATTCACCTAGTACTGTTTATGTGAACAGTCATTATTGAATTGTGTCTAACCCAAAAAAAATTAATTTATTTAAAATTATGTTTTACTCTAAAAAGATAATATTTAATATTATTTAATAATAATATATAAATTGGAAGGAGATCGCATGATAATATAGTATTTGTGGAATTTGACTGCAATTTCAATTTTATTTTTGATGATATTTTACCTGATTTTGGTACACACTCAAAAAACCATAAAAATTATAATTCTTATTAGATAAATTTCATACGTGATGAAATTGTAGATAACTTAATTAAATAATTAAAAATATTTAATATAAAATATTATTTATTTAATGGTGTAATAGTAGTTTTTAAATTTATAATATTTAAATTAAAATTATTAATATATATATATATTTAGTTATTTTATAATTTTAATTTGAAAAATACGTTTAACTAAACATATTAAATTATTTTTTATTTAACCTCAATTTCAAGTACAGTTTTAACTAAATATATATAAATATCAAATCAATATCAATTAAAAATATTTTTTATAAAATATTTTTTTTAACCAACAATCATAAAAGTTTCTATAACACTGAACACAGTTTAAAGGGGTACATTTGCAAAGCGTATGCGGAAAATGGTAAGAAATTAAGCATTATTCAACTAATAAAGAGGAGCATGTATCCATTGCAGTAACAGGCCATGCGTGGCCTCGTGATCAAAGGCTGAATCAATATGCATCCACATTTATATATATAATATTTAATAATAATAAAATGTGTACGGTGTAGTGTATATTAATTCCAACAAACTAAATAAACTATAGATAACCAAAGTTCGTGGAGAATGGGATTCCGATACATGAGGCATCGATATCGAGCTAGCTTTATCAAGGCATTTCTGTTGGTTCTGGGGGCGTTTGGAAGTATATTAATATTTATTTTTTAAGTGTTTTTGGATTATAAATATATTAAAAAATTATTTTTTATTTTATAAAAATTATTTTTTACATTAACACATTAAAATATATAAAAACACTTAAAAAAATATTAATTTAAACTTTTAAAATGTAAGCTCAAATGTGCGGTGGCACAAGGAGGAACCACCCTATACATTTGGCACTGACTTTGTAATAAACGACCAAAAACACGACTTGCCACAATTTCAAACTGTCTTCAGGCAATAGACTAACCATTTACTTTGAGATAAACGGCTAGCAAAACTACAAAGCTTTCAATTTCTTACAACTAATTGTAATTAACAGCAAAGTAATCTATTTAATTCGCGACTCGCATAGAAACCTTTTGATTAGATAAATTATTAATTAACACCATGTTCTGGGTGACTTCTTGTTCTGGGTGACTTGTAGCCGCAGCACATTTTACATGGCCGTTGTTTTTCTCACGGTCCGGATCAGAAACTATTTAATGTTATGTCTATATTGCATTCTAATCCCTTGATCTTGAAAAGTTAAGCGGAATGGTCCTTGGAACTCTAGCAAGCTCATATTATACATGAAAATGCATCGAGATTTGTACATCTTCTTAATTCATTTACCTTAATTAGAGTTAATTCATGAGAGTATACAATTCGCGCAGCACTGGAAAACATTGTTGAGAGAACTATAGAAATATTAATGCATATTCAAGTTTGAGTTTAAGATAACATGATTAATTAATAAATTTGATTAATCTTTAGAAATTAAAGGATCCTATATTGATATTAAGAAAAAGATAAAATATTAATTTGTGTGTCTGAATTATTCATGTGCAAAAATGTAAAACTCAAATACAAAAGTGTTAAACGACAAGGAAGTGTCTTCATTTGGTTGGGTGTTGCAGCAGCATTAATTACCTGTTGATAAATCCTTGCCTTTAGATCTTTTTCAAAATGATTTAATTTGAAAATAAAATATTTGACGTGTGTGTGTATCTTGTGTATCTAGGAAATAGTTGTTTCGAAGTAATTTCTCTCTATATAACATTTATTCAATTAAATTACTTATTTATTTTATGAATATATGAATTGTATTAAAGATTCAAGATTCATTTTAATCTTCTTTAAATATAGAAAAGATTTAGAGAAAAAAATATAAAATATCTTTATTATTAATAACACACACCATATAAGCAAAAACTTCATGAAACTTTTTGATTAACTATAATACCCTTGAATATTCTTGAAAGACTATAATACTTTTAGATTATTTTAATAATCATTATAAACTAATTTAATATACATGTATTCTCAATATTTCTCGTGTAAATTTTTTAATACATGTTTTTATTTTATTTTTTTGCTTGTCATGCTATGTTTCCAATATTGTTTTTTCGTTTTCAATTCAATGCCTAATCTTGTGTTTCTATATAAAACAATTAATATAGCTTTCTTATATGATTTTTTTTTCACAAGCCACAAGCAATTTTCTTTTTATATCAGCATAAACTTCTTTTTTATTCGAATATCACCATAGAAAAACCTTTGATTTTAAGTGTCATTAATCAAATCAAGATAGAAAAACCTTTGATTTTAAGTGTAATCAAATCACATATTTGGACCTAGGGGATCACTAGGTGACCTCGAGACAGGCTACCGATTTTGCTACCGAGAAAGGCTACTGAAGTACGGAACTAAAGAGCCATCCCTCTCGTGAGCCATGTACATGATTAATCCTATGCTCATGGTCATGGGGATTGGCTCTCAGCCTCCAGTGCTTTTCCACACATGATGAGTGCGACCTGCCACTTACTATATTCCTTCCGAATGTTTGCCAAATCATGCGAAAAGGGCCTCTATCTGATCCACTCGAGTCAGGCTGCAATTATCCACTGAATGCATGTAAATTATGACACCCCGTCTTGCTGTGAATATCCAAGGAAGAAGAAGATGATGCACTGGCGTGTAGCTTTCTGGATCCTGATCCGGAAATAATACACAGCTGCATGGTGTCTCCGCTGCTTTTCATGGATGAAGTGGCAGATTATCTGCTCCTCATCAATACAAAATGACATACAGATATTAAGCAGTTCGTAGACTTATCCTCTGAAGTTCTATCCTACGTCCTTCCTCTTGACCTGCATTGAAAGGGCTATGTGAAGTTAATTTTTTTCTGCTACCAAAAAGAATTTAAAAAACCCTAAACTCTTTTAAAAGAAGCAGTATATTGTTAGCCATATCAAGTATCGCTATGCAGGATACCATTAGACACTAGCTGATGATAATAATTGCACTAAACTCGTCCACAACAAGCTTTAGCGATTGCAATTAATTCAGAACAAGTGGATCCATATAGAGGTTAACATATGTGTAGAACTATATTTTCCACTCATTCTAGCTCCCAACATTTTCTCTGCTTTTGAAATTTATGTACCCGAAGATTCTCATCTCATTATCAAGGTGAGGTCAGCCATGAAATATTGTTTGACATGATTAATGCAGGGTTAAGGAGTTGATTTATCCCGTCAAGATATGTTGTTGTTACACGTAATTTGAAAAATATCAAACAAACATGATTAAGCTCATAACCTAAAATCTATCCTAGCTTATGATTTAATTGAATTGACTTGATATTAACCTGACATGACTTGATTAGTTGACTTAATATCCGATTAACCTGATTAAACACATAAAATATAGTTAGATGATGAAAACCAAAGATTTACCCTTGTATTAAGATTTCACCGTAAATTAGCACAGTTGTTATAAGCAAATGATTAGTATCAATTTTAGTGTTAATTGAATTCTAGTACTATATATTTTTATTTAATTTTAGCTCACAGTTAATAATTTTTGTTGAGGATGTTAAGTAATTGCATAATCACGGAATATTTGTCCTTTGACTTTGTTAATCATGTCAATTGTTTTTTTTCTCAATTCTTTTTAAGAAACACAATTATTAATATCATAGAAAAAAAAAGTATACATGTTTATTTGTTATAATCTTAATAAACATGTTTTGTAATAAAAATAGAATTAAAAAGCAACTAACAAATAATTTCATTCTCTTATTATCATTACTATTTATTTGCTATTAGATGGTACCTCCTTTGTATCTATCAACAAGATTGAAGTATAAGAACAATTATTTTTAAATTTTTTTTGAAATATATTAAAATAATATTTTTGTTATTTTTAATATCAACATATCAAAATGATTTAGAAAAATTTAAAAAATAATTTAAAATAAATAAATAAATATACTTTTAAAATATAAAAACAAATGGGCTTCGTAATTTATAGTGATCCAAGATTAGCAGGCCAGTGTACCCCAATATAAAGAAAACAGTGGGGGATCCATTAGAGAATCAAATCAACTAAAAGTGGGCCGCATCTAGCTCGAGCATTACAATAAAAAAAAAAATTTAATTTCTTTTTTCGTTAGAAAAACGAATACCACAGTAATATCAAGCAAAATTTAGATTTTAAGAAGTTATATGGATGAATTCACATATAGTTTTCTATCAATTAATATGAAATTTGATATCTTTACACCTGATTAATGTTTATCTAAAGATACTTTTAACTTCTGGTGGCCGTTGGTGGAGGAATTCTTATCCTTGATATGCTAGTTGAGCACAGCAGTAATATTCAATGATTTCTTCTGCCTGCAATTCTTTTTAAACAAAATAAAGAACTGTTATTGAAAAGTATATACGCCTCAGTTTGCTCAATTAGAATTTAGAAGATAAACACTACTGCTTTTAAGTTGTTATATTCATTGACATTGGCAAAAAGCCAATAAGAAACATGTAAGAAAAACTACTCTCTGTAACTAAATTCTTCTAAGAGACTGAATGCCTGATGTTTCTGGAAGGCGTGGATTTAGCTTCTTCCATGTTAGCAGAACCAAGACTTTCTGATGAATCCGAGCCACTATTCTCGCCCTTTTCTCCTTTGCTTGACCAGAGCTTTGTAAGGATCTTCGACTTGAGCATCCCTCTCATTTTGCTGCTGACAGCCTTATCGACACCATTTCTACTATTAGCCAATCTCAAGGAAGCTACCTCCTCCTTTAGAGCCTTGAGCTCCTCAGCAGTTGCCACAACATCCCAATCTCCCTCTGTGTTAGTATTCGCTGACCTCGAGCTCCTTTGAGACCCATTGTTTAGATCCCTTATGCTTTTAGGAAGGTCGGGGGTGCTACTGCCAGATGAGGCAGCCACCCTGACCTGTTCAAAAAAGAGTACCTGCACAACTACACGCAATGGTAGTCTGTCATTCTGCACCGCATGCATGCACGCATCAACTGATAGTTTCTTGCAGTCCATCAATTTGCATATCCTCTTCCTCTCACTCTTGCTGATCCCTGGGTGTTCCTGCATCAAAGAACAGCAAAACTCTACATATCAGTAACCACTAAGCAATTGAATGCACCCAAGTTTTATGATTGGCTGCACTCCTAAACTCAGTTGAGGGGTCAAACATGCTGTTTAGTGCCTTGATTTAAAAAAAGAAAATGACGTGAATTAAAAAAATATCAGTATTACCTTGAGATACATGTCAACTGCCCGGTACAGTGCATCATGAGCTGGTCTACAGATACCAGATACCATCTCAGCAAGCTCAACAAACTTCAAGAGGGGTAGATTGGGATCCTTTGCTATTTCAGCTAGGTACCCATCTACCAGTTTTGCCACCATGAGCTTGGAAGCATCAGATAAAATCCCTGGTTTTCTTATCTCCTGAACCTCATGGCCTTCTTCAGACTCCATCTCGGCAATGTGATCTCGCATCAGAAACTCTTCCACCATTTTCTTTACTGCATCAACATCATACATCATGTTCTCCCCTTCCCCAGCATGAATCAAAAGATCATTTACAGAAGCCTCCTCTAGTTGCTGTCCAATTCTCCTTATCAGCTGTCCTTTGATTGCATCGCCCAAGTCAACATATATGGCTGCTTTTAATAGCTTCAACAAAAAATTACAGGGGACGCTGCCTCGCTCAGCAGGCAACAGACACACAATGGTATCAACAGTTGATCTATATTTTGCTGCGTCTCCACACTGGATCGTACCCTTACTGAAACCTGGCAACCTTCTGTAAGCGTAAGCTTTCAAACCTTCTCCAATCACCTCATCAGAAAGTGTGCCTTTGGTTTGGATTGTAATAAGAACGCGTTTATACAAACCAATTTCAAGCTCACATAAATCCTCAACCCACCAGTCCTTTGGCACTAACCGGTTTCTCAGACCATTCAAGTTTGGATCATTCCCATTTTCCTCAGGGAGTTTTCTCCGGTTATACGAATAGGCCCAGTTGACTTTTGAAACATCAACACAGGCCTTGGTAGCTACAGCGTGAATGCAATGGCTGGTCACCTTCAGTTCCTCAGATAATGGCAAAAGCGACCTTGTGGTCTGAAGAACAATGATTGAATCCTTCCAGCTGTGAAAAATGCTAGAGCTAAGGAAGACATCAATTTTGTAAATGAGGTTCCCTTTTTCAATAGTCTCATGCATTCCCAGGTACTCAGCCGCACAACGGGCAGCAACTACATTATAAGCATTGAGGGTTACAGTCATGCCATAGCAATATTTGGCACATATCTCAAAGGCAGAAGGCCCACCCGGAATATCAGAAATTTCAACTTCATCACTATTTTCTCCGTTGGCAATTGTTACCAAATTCTGCAAGTAAGCACTTTTTGACAGAAGAGGAAACTGCATAGCAGGATTTTAAATTAATTAGCATCAAAATGATTATAGCAACATAGCATATTAACACAGATTTCTAATGGCATGTCAACACAATTCCAAGCCATGGCACTCTACCCATTATAACTGCAGCCATAGTCCAAGGATGCCTTTGACAAAAGGTTAGGTGGTTTATTCAACAATAATATTGAATCAATTAAACAGTATCATACTACCCTTGCTTCAGACATTGCCAAACCAAGCTGAGCCATGACAGATCATTGTCTTGACATCTCAGAACCAAAAATCATATTCTAGGCTCACTTATATTGAATAAATTAGCAAAGTCAGCCACCTTGGATGCCCATAGTGTCATGTATAGCATCATGAGATGCTATGTACCAAGGGCACCACACAGGACAGACACTAAGATACAAAGATCTAGATGAAGTTGCAGAGATAACACCATAGTCATCAACTAGAAATGTATATTGGATTGAAAGATCATGTGTACCTTATGCAGATAAAACTTTATATCCCCCACGTTAACAATGATATCAGTTGCCAACTCAGTAGCCACATATCTGCACATGACATATAAAAGCCCAGTAATGTCAGCAACAATCAAAAAGTTAAAGAAATTTGACGATATGCATATTGCTAAGTGCAACCACATTCTTTTCTAAAGCTGTAAGCCATTCATTTAATTATTTTTTTAATGTATTAATCTTCACAGGCTGACCAAACTTTACAGGGGCCAAGTACAAAAAATCAAGACCCAATTGGTGGGGAAAAGCCAGAATAACAAGCATTCAACAACAACTTCAGACCAGAAGAGATTTCAATTTTCCTTAAGTAATCAGAAACATAAGGACAATCAGTCCTTTTGAACCACTTCACATTGCAAAGCAGCTCCAATCTCCACAGAAGACAGAAATCATCAGCAAACACTGTGCTCGTGCATGAATGTAAAATCATGGATAAATGGAACTAAATATACTGGCGAATCATTTTAAAGATTGTTTCACTTTGTTAAAGCATCAATGATATTAACAACTGCCAACAGAGGCTGAATAAAATCCTCATTTCCAGCAATACAAATGCTGTATGACCTTCAGTAGAGAACCCAAACTTCACAGTTCTCCAAAGAAAGTAGTCAAACAACCGGAGTAGCAGATATACCACACAACAGCAGCTGTGCAAATTCATCAATAAGAGGATTGACTTAAAAGAAACCAAAAAGAATAAAACATTAAAGCAACAACAAGAATTGTAAATAAAATTTCAGCAAGGAATAAAACAGAACGCAAATTGGACTTTGAAACTTCTCACCTAATACTGTTCGCTTCTGCCTGAAATGAATCTGGCTTTGATCCAAGTTTCATGAACTTCATCTTGTCAGACTAAAGATCCAAATACTGTAGTTTCGAAACAAACCGTCCCTGCACTCAATTGATCACTCCTAAATCAAACACCTTATGCTATACGCTCACCACCACACATTCCCAAAGAAACATTAACATAACCCAACTCGAGAAAAAAATTCCTGAATTGGAAAAGATACTCCAGATGTGGGGACCAAGTTTCTCAATTGTAACAGGCTTCTAGGCCTAAGGGAGAGTCAATAAGGATCTCAGGAGACGGTGAACAATATATGTCAAGGTATGACCGAATCTTGACAGAAACCAAGGCAGGAAGTGTGACGGAGAGAGAGAGTGAGTTGAAGGGATGTAAAGAAGATGGGATTGAGTAGTTTTTCAACTAAAAGGATCTCTTAAATAAAATGATAGCCAAAGAAATGGCTGTTGCCTAAATCGGCGGCAAAGCCCAGGGAGTACGGAGGCAATGAATCAGCCCAGGAGACATGGCCAACAGGCACTCTACACTAAACAATTCACTAATTAGAGACAACCCACAAGCATAAATCTGACTCCACCTCACTCGCACCCTATTTATTTATCTTTCCGTCTCTGATTACTCTGTTACTTTGCTTTCTCCCTTCTTTATTAAAAGATTCATATCAATAAGACCAATCCAGCTTAATTAAGTTCCAAGTTCCAAGTATAAAGAATATGTATATTTTTACCGTTGAACTTTGAAAACCTGCAAAAAAAAAAAAAACAGCATCTTGGTATCAGTTGAAGAAACCACCAAAAACGCAGACAACAAGCATCTATCTTCAATTTTTTTCAGAAAAAGGCAAAAGCATGGGAATAAATGAGATTTATGCATCGCAAAAATGCTGTAGTAATGAACTATCAAACATCAACTACCAACAAGAAAATTGAAACTGAAATCAAATGAATCTACCATAATATGTTACAGAAGTCTAAATAAATAACAAACATCTAGTTAAATAATTGTGAGCAAAGATCAGGATAGCATTGCTATAATGTAAGACCCTAAAACCCCTCATGTGGACGTATGAATATAACCAACTTGGAAACCAAAAGACAAACCCCCAAAGCCACTCTCGGTGTAAGCCCCAACAAAATCCAAAACTGACCCCAAGTATCCAAATCTACAAAACCATAAATATTGCCACCGTATTCCTAGAACCAATGTAGATAAACCCACCGAAAGAACCCCGTTTCAACAACAAAAATCATTAAAAAAAGAGAGAAACAAGCCTTTAAAGCCAAGACTTGAAGCTACAACAAATCCACAAACAAAATAGATAGAAGTCTCTTGAAAGAACACTCACCGAAACTTGCACTATTAGTGACACTCAAAAGATGGCACCTTTGAGTCTCAAGCGCCAAAAAAAAATTAACCACGACAAAACACTAAGGGAATCGCCCAGAAATATAGCCTAGAAATGAGGTGTCACTTAGTTACAGAAATTCAAGATCCCACAACTTATTACACAAAAACATGATCTAGAAACAGATGTTTTATCTCATATGAGTGTACTAACAATCCTACATTGCTTGGTTATTACATCAAACCAAAAATAAAAATCTTGTCTTCGATTTTCTTTGCTCGTTTAGAAAGCAAAGAGAAGTTCATTCAGTTTTTGGAGAAGGGGGCATTAAAGAAGAGGGCACTCATGACTCGCCACTACCTATGCTCAGTCATGCACGCCAAAACTGACACACAGCTAGCTTTTTTGTTGCCACTACACTCCTTTTTAATAAATGACCCACCTTTAGCCCTTGGGATTTTGCGTCCTCAATTTACACAGCTACTTGTTTACTAGTACCATCACTCTTCTCTGCCCCTCTCTCTCAAAAAGAAAGGATGCAAATAATGTCCATTTCTGAATAAAGTTAATTAAATGATTATCGTGCCCTGAAAAGGGAAAGAAGAAAAAAAAAAGTGTCGATTATGTTGATGTTTTTTTTTCCCTTATATTTGAGTTTGAATTGTGCTAAATTTATGGTGCAAGTCGGAGTTGCTGGAGGAATTCTAAATGACCCCAATGTTATCATACTTTGTTACAAGAGACAGAGTGCTGTAATTGTAATAAAAAAAATGGGTTTATTTTTGTATTTTAAAAGTAGTTTTGAATTTTTGTTTTTTATTTCCTTTAGATTAATTTTTTTAATGTATTCAAGTTGTTCTAATATATTGATGTTTGAACTAAATTTTAAAAACTAAAAAATTACAAATTTTTTCAATTTATTTTAAAAAATATATATTTTAAAAAATAACAATAAAATACACTAATAAAACCATATTAAACAGTATTAAAACATGCTCTTTTTTTGTTTGAATCTTGAGAGGAAAAAAAAGAAAAAACCTTAGTAGAGGGAGTCATATGGTAACCACCTTGAGTCTTATTTTTTTATTATTATTATTCGGAATGTGTAACTCAGAGTCACATGTGCGAGATGGCTGTCCTCAAACCAAAAAGAGAAGGAAAAGGAAATCAACGCGTGCCCTTGATAGGATATATTTGAATGATGTCATACCGAACGAGTTTACGGTTTTAAAAAAAAAAAAATGTAAATATGATTTTTTATATAATTTAAAATATTCCAACCAGTTTATATATATTATAATTAATTTTTAAATTTAATAAATATTTTATAAGTTTAATAAATAAATAAAGTATTACAGGAATGATAATTATACAAATTGATATTTAACCTGGAAGCATAATTTAGATATTAACATTATGTTTATTTTTTGAAAAATTATTTTTAGAAAATTATTTTTTAATTTTTCCTGTATTTGTTTGTCATTAGAAAATTTGGTCAATAAAAAATATTTTTCGATCAACAAAAAATATTTTTCAGTCAATGGAAAACACTTTCCGGTCAACGAAAAATATTTTCTGGTCAACGAAAAATATTTTCCAGTCAAAGAAAAATTTGGCTTGGTTTTCAGGAAAGTGTTTTCCTTTTTAGCTGTGTTTGTTTTCCGGAAAATGATTTCTGGAAAAACACTTTCCAAATTTTCTTATATTTGTTTTTCAGAAAGTGATTTCCAGGAAATCACTTTCCAAACTTTATTATGTTTGTTTGCTGTTAGGAAATTTAGTAAACGAAAAATACTTTCCAATCAAAAAACAATTGACTTGATTTTCAGAAAAGTGTTTTCCTGAAAAAATTGAGAGGAAAACACTTTCCAGAAGCTGTGAAAAATTTAGAAATATCATTACTTGTTAATTATATCAAATTTGATGCTCAAACTTTTGATTGTTATATATATTTTGTTTTGAATATTTATTTTCCAATTTAATTTTTTAAAATTTAATTTTTATATCAATTTTGGTCCTCATTTTTATAATTGTTATTTGCTTTTCTTCTATTATTTTTTTATTGAAATTTTTTTCTATCAAATTTGGTCCTCATTTTTTTTATTGTTATTTATTTTATTTGAAATACTTTATGAAATATTAATTATTATTATTTTAATTTCTTTATCTTTTTTTTTATTTGATCTTTATTATTTTGATTATTATTTATTTTATTTAAGATAGTTTATGAAATTTTTTTTTCAATTTCATTATTATTCAACCTTTTAATTTGTAAGATTTATTCCTTATTATTTTAATAAACTTGAGAAAAATAAAATATTAATAAATTTTTTTCTAGTTTATTTTTCACAACATAACCAAATATTGGAAAGTGTTTTCCAGTTCATTTTTTATAACATTACCAAACATCAGAAAATACTTTACTTTTCAGGAATTTATTTTCCTCAGAATTCACTTTTCTGAAATTCACTTTTCCTGAAATTCATTTTCCAAACAAAACAACATTTTTACAAATAAACAGAGCCTAAAATTAAATAATCACCCTTGATATATGAAATTAGTTGGTTTGAAGCTATCCTGGTAGTTAAAATGTGGGGAAAAAAACATTTGTAAATTTTGAGAGAAGGGATAAGCCTGGGGTTCACCTCATTTTAGTTCATGACCTACAGACAACTTCTCAGTTGCATCTAACCTGTGCTTTTATCAATCAAGTCCTTGATGTATTGAGAATTTTCAATCAGATCCCTCATCCGAGTCCATTAATGGCTCCCATCCAAGGTACCCATTTTTTTAAGAGAACTCGGTGTTCTCTGACAAACTCTTGCTGTCATTTTTAGGATATGAGTAATACAATGGGGGATTGTTTATAAGATGAGGACCCAATTGATTAAAGAATAGGTTACGTGCATTAATAAAATTGATGATGGGTTGGGAAATAATATAATATTATAATGTTTTGTTATTGTCTTAAGATTAAAAAAAATAAACATATCTTGATGCACTCCTGTTTTATACATACAAAAATTATTTTAAAAATATATTATTTTAATATATTTTAAAATAAAAAAAAATATTTTTAAAAACAATCACTTCACTTTAAACATCACCCAAATATATATAGATTTCACTCAAGTATATTTTGTATTTAAATTGTGATGTTGATTATGCAGAATATTTATATTCAACCAATCTATCAAAAAATAAAAAGTTAAACATAAAGGTTGTTAATGTTATGGGATTATTTAAAACATGTGTGAATGTCATGTTTAGATAATTATTTTTCCGCTTATTATTTTCAAATAAAAATACATATTAGGGGTGGGTGGTGACTGATGATCACTACCACACCCTCGCAAATTCTTTATTCATGATTGAGGGTGTCTTTAATAATGCCAGAGGAAGTGTTTTTCTAAAATATTTGTTACTTACAAAATATTAAATTAATAGTTCTTTTAATAATTTTAAAATTATAATATCAAAACTATCGAAATATAATACATTACTGTGAATCATTTAAAAAAAAAAACACTTACAAAAAAAAAATAGAAAGCATCCTAACATTTTACCCAAAGTGTTTTCTTTGGTCGCGTTCCACCGCAACGCATTTGCTATATAAACAAATACCAAAGGCCGAAATGTTAGCTGCAACTGTCATGATATTTCTTTATCCACAATTATATATATATATATGAAATAACTGAATGGGGGAGCTAATTGAAGAAAGAGATAATTTAAGAATCCAATTGAGAATTAATGGTAGGATGGGGGTTTATATAAGGTTGCCCCATACGAAAAGGTTGGCTACGAGCAGGCGACCATGCTGTTAATCCAATTGAGATACTTTTCTGGGTGTATTGTTATGCTTAGGAGATGATTCTTTTCTATTGTAATACTGCTCCAGCAATTGTCTTTCTCTGTTCTTTTGCTTATGCATGGTTTATTATTTAGAACCTGTTTGGCAAGACATTGCACAACCTCCGATGAAAAAGCACAAAAAATAAGAATTGCCAAACAAAACCTTGCTTGTTTTTGAAGAGCACAAGCATGCAGAAAGGGCGTCGGCTGACTGGCTTGTTCAAACATGGACACAATCTTTATTATTATTATTATTATTATTATCACGGGCTCGGACTTAACTAGGAGATGATAATTTGTTCATTACTAGAGGCTATATAAAAGGAGGGAGAAGCCACAACTGATATCAATTATAGTTATTAAACTCAATTTAAAATTTTACTTCGTACAAGGTTTGAAATTACGAATTAAAAAGGTTAATTTAATTGATTTTTAAAAATAATATTTTTTTTAAATAGCAAATATTTAAGCAGTTTCATCTTATTAATCTTATTAATCTGAATCACCAGTCAATCTAAGATTTTAACTAGCACTATCCAGATTAATTCCTTTTTTATTTCCTATTAAATCTAAATCAGTTTAGATATTAAATTTTTATTTAACCTGTCATTTGGATTTTATAAATAAATTATGATACGTGACCATCCTGGATCAGTAGAATAACTAATTAGGAGGAACAAAAAATAAAAAACTGATTAATAATAGTAAAAAAATTAATTAAAATTTTAAAAAAACTGACTGGTTTAGTTTTATAAATTTAAAACTGAAAAAACTGAGTCAAATTAAAAAAAACTGAGCCAATCAAAAAAACCAAGTCAAATTAGTTTGAACTGGGTTTTTCTAAAATAATTTAATTAAAACCGGTTGGTTTGAACCAATTCTATTTTTTTTATAATCAATTTTATTATTTTTTCAATAAAAACTAAATTGAAATAAAATTAATCACCCTTGAAAATCATCTATATTGTACTTCTATCACTTGTGTGCTTTCTCGATTTTTTTATAGCACTTGATTTAACAAATTCTCTCCAATGAAACATAATTAAATAAAATTGAAACAAAAATTAATAAAATTATGAATTAAGATCTTTTAGCGTTTGTTCATGTTAAATTTAAAGGATTTGATTCAGAACAAATAGATATTATTTTGATTTCAAAATATGCTAAGAATGACAAAATCTTAATATTTAAATCATTAAATTCAAAATAAATGATGAGATTGGAAGATGGCATGATCTAGCCTAAATAAAAATAAATTCCCTGATAAAAAGCATTGTTCTGGGCAGTTAAAAATCCTGTCCCTGACATGATGGTATCTCCACATTCGCGCTATAGCTTCCTTCAATTCACTTCAAACTTGTACACATGGCCAGTTATTTTTATAAAAAAAAATCCAGATTTAAGAAAAAGTTGGTGGAATAAGAACGAGCAAGATTTATAACAATCTGGTGGTAAGCCTATCAATACATCCTCTTCTAGCAGCAGAAAAGGAAAGCCAG